GCAAAGTTCATTTGCCTCTACTCGGGCACTGATTTACGCCATTCCATGGCTACCGAGGTTCGTTTCAGTTTTCGTGGATTTTCCAGATGAAAGAGGAAAATCTGGAAAAAAAAATCCTACCACGTTTCTAAGTTCACCATAAAGTATCTCTGGGCAAAATATGAAGGTTTTCAATTGAACGACAATGTGCCTCATCAAGGTTCTCATAGGTTTTTTTCAGTCTTTGCTATGCTACTTTCACGCGTAGTACTAAAATACATGGCCAAAGGTCATGTATCTTGGGCCCCTTTCGCTTCGCAACGACCATGTTTTAGCATGTTGGAAGACGACATCTGCGAGAGGCTTAGAATAGATTTTACAACTTCGGTATGGCGGCCATATTTCAACGTTGCGGATACGTTGCCAGGAATGGCGATTATTCGAACATCCTGCTAAAAGGCTATTCGTTTCGAAAACTAAAACCGACTAACAGTCAATACTAATCTCAGTCACGGAGTGCTTTGACAGCCGCAACATTTGCCCTTGACAGGTGTTATGGGTTACAGCTACTAAGATATAACCAAAGTCATCCTATTTAAATTTTTTTTTCTTTTTCTCAAAAAAAAAAAACCAAAAGGAATTTAGAAATGATCCTCGCTGATTAGCGGTGATTAAAGAAACTGCAGGAAAGAACCCTAAAAAAATCCAGGCTTCGACGGGATTCTTGGCCAAATACTAGTTGCCTACGTAGATACTAGTTGAGCGTCACTACCATCTGATATACGACGCCAGATACTGATTGGGCGTCTCTACCATCTGATTTACGGCGCCACATGTTGAAAGTGAGACAAATGTTAATGAAAACTTCTATACCAGAATGGGATCTGCTCGCAGTTCAATCAAATAAATCAGAACATTCAGATTGAAAATAGTACTTAATAAGTTATCTTTTTTTCGACAGTTGAAACCAACAAACGTAAAGATGTCCAAAGAAAAGCGTGTCTGTGTGATTGGTGCAGGTCCCAGTGGTATGTCAGTGCTGTATCACTTCAATAAACTGAAAGAACAAGGCAAAGAGATTCCTGACATTGTGTGCTTCGACAAACAGTCAGACTGGGGAGGGCTCTGGAAATACTCCTGGGAAACTGGTAACTAGTTTTCACTGCATCAAGAGAATTTCAGTTCATATTCTCTTGGTGGCGCGTTGACACACCTTTCGAATCATCACATCTGTTGTCTGTCACATAACGAGTTGAATTTGATTAGTAGTGTCAATAAGGCTTAGAAGTGAAGATAAGGTTTTGCTGCTGAGAGGAGGAGCCAATTGTGTAATCTGTTCTTGGCATTTTCTCCTTAAGCACGCAGCGTCGAGATCGCACCTAAAAGAGCGCGAGGAAAGTCGCGAGAAAAAAACCGTGAAGAGGAGCGATGCATCTAACCAAAAGGGAACGCGAGTACAAGAAACCATGTTTTTTCCCACATTTCTAACCGATTTAAAACGCTGGCTTGACAGTCCACTTGGTTTGTATTAATTTTGAGAAAACTTGTTCAAGAAAACAATATGATTTGAAAAAAAAAAAATACATACACCCAATGCAATGATTTGATTCTCTTTTTTGTTTGAGGTATCAATCAGTTTGGCGAACCCGTCCATGGAAGTATGTACCGAGGCCTCTGGTCTAATGGTCCGAAGGAAGCTTTAGAGTATCCGGACTACACCTTCGAAGATCATTTCAAAAAGGCAATTCCATCCTTCCAACCCAGAGAGGTTCTCTATGATTATCTGAAAGGTAAAAAAATCTCCTGACCTCAAACAGCTCTAACCTGCTTGTTAGCTCTCCTCCCGCTTACAAAAACTTTGTTTAAACTGTTGACTAGTTTTCCGAATTTAGTGATGAAAAGGACATTAAACATGTCTATCTTTTAGGGACAAAAGTACCT